TTCAAGGAGGTAGTTGTTTGAGTCCAGTTGGCACTAAGACCAACCAAGTTTTCTTCTGGGTATAAGCTTTCATGTGCGTGCATGTATCTGACGAAGTTGTCACTGGACCCAAGAAATGTTGGGACCAGTGTTCCCTCTAAGCTGAGTGAGTGTGAGCTAGCTCAGTTTTTTTTAGCCTCCAGCTCACAGATTTTCATCTTAGCTCAGGAAGGATGGGTCCAGAGCAAACTAACTTATGCAGCAGCCAAATCGCTCACTCTTACAACTTTAAAATGCCAGTAGCTTACAACATAAAATTTTTGCTCACAGGACTCCACAGCTTAGAGGGAGCACTGGTTGGGATGCTGTTTGTTTTGAAATTGAAAGTGATGTTTCTCCCAGGACCTTGTAAGAATCTCATCTGTGCCCTCCAGGGTGAGAGGCCTGCATATTCTCCAATCTCCCTCTCCCTCTCCATGAAGATTTGTCATGGCCTAGACTCCACAGCTTAGAGGGAGCACTGGTTGGGATGCTGTTTGTTTTGAAATTGAAAGTGATGTTTCTCCCAGGACCTTGTAAGAATCTCATCTGTGCCCTCCAGGGTGAGAGGCCTGCATATTCTCCAATCTCCCTCTCCCTCTCCATGAAGATTTGTCATGGCCTGGCATCTGGTTTGGCACGCTGCTGGGACCAGGCATGCTGTAGTCTGAAAAACAAATCCTGCATATTAGAAAGCTGATGCTCCAGTTCATGACCCCCTTTCTATCACCCCAAATGTCCCCGGCATCTGTTATCTGGAGAGGTCATGTCTCCCTAGGTGGTCACTGCTGTGAGGATCAGCCGGAGAGCTCGTGCTTCGGGCTTCCTGGAACTGGGCGACTCTCGGATTGTCAGGAGAGCTTTTAAGCAAGCCGTCCTCTCCCCTCTGTTCAATGGCCAGGGCTTATGGAGCCTGGGAGAAAAGTCTGTGTTTTGTTTTTCTTTGGAGCTGGCTCAGGACAGGCTGTTACCTGACCTGGAAAGGCTAAAAGCATCCTCTTTGCTCTGATTAAACACGGGCTGTAATCCGCTGGGAAGCTTCCTTGCGACTGTGGGGCCATGGCTCAGTGACACAGCACATGCTTTGCATGCTGGAGGTCTGAAGTTCAATTCCTGGCATGCCTAGCTTAAAAAGATTTATGGAGCCTGGGAGAAAAGTCTGTGTTTTGTTTTTCTTTGGAGCTGGCTCAGGACAGGCTGTTACCTGACCTGGAAAGGCTAAAAGCATCCTCTTTGCTCTGATTAAACACGGGCTGTAATCCGCTGGGAAGCTTCCTTGCGACTGTGGGGCCATGGCTCAGTGACACAGCACATGCTTTGCATGCTGGAGGTCTGAAGTTCAATTCCTGGCATGCCTAGCTTAAAAAGATTGGGCAGGTATGTGGAAGACCTCTTCCAAGACAGCCATAGCCAGTCAGCGTCCACAGTACTGACCTTGATTGACCAAAAGTCTAACCTTAAAAATGTATTTATTTCCTCATTACATTTTTTCCCCTTTTCTGCAAGGAGCTCAGGATGGCATGCGTCCTTCCCCTTTCCTTCTTTTAATACTGGTCGCAACCCCGTGAAGTTGATTGGAGAGAGGAAGAGGAACTGCCCCAAGATTTATTTTTATTCATGTCACTTATTCCCTGCCTTTCTGCCCAATGGGGACCCAAAACGGCTTACATGGTTCTCCTCCATTTTATCCTCACAATAGCCCTGTGAGGTAGGCTAGGCATGTCAGTTCATGGGTATTTCCCCACCACTGGGCCCTCCCACTCAGTGTTGTTGCTGAGGCCGGTGGGAGAACAGTAGAGGGAGGACGTGACATTCAGGCATCTCCCAATGCTCTAGAAACTCTCTGGTGTTTCACCCAGATAACACATAGCACAATGTCATATCCACCCCTTGCCCTACCCCCAAAGATCCCAGGGGTGCCTTGTACTAGATGGGGCTGAGAGAGAAAGAGCAACCGGTCCAAGGTCACCCAGCCAGTTTCCATGGCAGAGTGGAGATTTGAACCCGGATCTCCTAGACCCTGCTCTGACACTCTTAACTGCTATACCACACTAGTGGTAGCTTCACATGCCCCTCTCCACTCCCTGTTGAAATGAACAGGAGCCATGCATGACAAGGAGCCAAGTGGAGACAGACACATTTCACCCATGGGCATAACCAACCTGACGCTCCCCTTGACAAACCTCATTCAAACGAACAGGAGGCTGCCCTCCATGGTGCCCAGACTCCTCTTACTTCATAGTAAAGCCATCTCTGTATGGCTCATGAGTCAGAAACGTGGATGGACATGCTCTGTGGCATTATATAAGTTCATGTTTCTTCTTCTGGTTCACAACAGGAAGCCTCAACAGTGGCCGAGATTGCCCGCTCTGGGTTGGGAGATACCTGGAGATTTTGAGGGTGGAGCCTGGGGAAGGCAGGCTTTGGGAGAGGGACCTCAGCAGGGTATAATGCCATAGAGCCCCACCCTCGAAAGCAATTCTTAGTTGCCTGGAGATCCACTGTAATAGCAGGAGATCTCTGGGTGTCACATGGAGGTTGGCGAGCCCAACAGTGACCAAGTCAATGGGCCAGGGCGTATGATTATGTTGGCACATGAGCTACATGGTAATCTTAATGGCGTTTCACCTTCAGACGTGAAGAGAAGGGGGTGGGCAGGTGGGAGGCAGAGCCTTGCAAGAGAGCAAAGTATGAGCGGAGGGGTGGACTATCTCTTCTCTGAGGAGTCTCAGAGTCTCACCAGAGGACCTTCAGGCTTGGGCTTTGACATAGTTGGAGGCAGGGCTATTTTTGGGCAGGAGCGCACAGGAACGGAGTTCCGGCTGGCTCCCAAGTTGGACACGCCCAGTAGGAACTCATTACATAATAGGCCACACCCAACAGCAGAAACTCATTAGGATTGGCTACATTAGGGGTGTGTGGCCTAACATGCAAAGGAGTTCCTGCTACAAAAAAAGGCCCTGGGTTTTGACAACAAGGTAAACAGAATAAGAAGCAAAAGGTGGGTGTGGCTGGATAACCACACTTCTGGTAACATGGGGGGGCGGCCTAATGTGCTAATGAGCTGTGCTGTCAGGGGCGTGGCCTAATATGTTAATGTGTCTGCTGTTGGGTGTATCCTATTATGCTAATGAGTTCCTGCTGGGCTTTTTCTACAAAAAGAGCCCTGGTTGGAGGGACAGACCAGCAGCACATGTCCAATGACAGCGGCATCTATGTTAGCCGAATTAAAGAAAATGGAGCTGCTGCCTACAAGAGGGAGACAAAATGTTAGCAGTTAACGGCAAGGACCTGGAAAACATGTTGCACCAGGATGCTGTGGATCTGTTCCGGACTGCAGGAGATAGCGTATCACTAAAGGTCCAACACAAGCTGCTGCCTCAGAATGGTCCCTCAAGCCAGCGAGGGGATGGAGAGCCAGGAGGTATCCCTTTGGCTGTGATTTTGGTGCCTGGGCTGGCCATCGCATTGGCTGCAGCTTGTAGTAAAAATAAAAAGGAACCTCATGGCCCCTTAAAGACTAGCAGATTTACTGAAGCAGACTACAAGCTAGTCCTCTATTTTATTTATCTAGAATTTCCTTCCCTGCCCAGTAATTGGGTGCATTTACTGAGCGAGTTTTTTTATAGTCCTTACTGGCATGAAAGTCCTGTGATAAGATTCAATGAATGGGGCCTCAAAGTAGAGGTCAGAATTGACAGTGGTTGTTTTGAACTGTCTCTCTTTCTATTTCCCTCCCCCTCTGTCCTTTCACAGAACGTCAGCATGGAAGGTACCTTAGATGACCCTCCGACTTCCACGGTCGTGTTGGACAGCTACCACTTCTCTCAAGTCATCTTTACAAATGTGGAAAAGTTCTATATCCCTGGAGCGGATGTCACTTGCCACTACAACCTTTCTGAGCACATCACTCCCCGTAGGAAAGACTGGGTGGGCATTTTCAAGGTGAGTTTCTGTTTTTGAAAGCCAAAGGTCTTGGTGATGCAATGTAGATGTTGGAGTTTAACTCTAGCACTTTGAAATCTGTTGCTGTGTTTTGTAGAGGCCTCTTGGTGTCATTTTTATCCTCTGAAGTTTTCGGCCTGGTTACAGTTTCAGAAAATGTTACTGGGCTGTTTAGGATGGAGTTCTGTTGTGAAGACCATGGTCTTTTATAGGGTGGGAAGAGGAGACAATTTGGTGATAGAATTTTTATGTTTTCTTGGATAGTTTATCTTGAAGCTGGGAATGAATTTTTCACCACCGTGTTCTGGACGGGGACACAGAAAACATTTTTCAATATTTCCAGATGTTAGAGTACTAAAACTCACAATTCAGTGTGCGTGTTCAACTTTCTTGGTAGCTTAGAGAATTTATACTTTTAGGAGCCATGTAGAAGGGCTTTTAAATTTTTCAATATTTCCAGATGTTAGAGTACTAAAACTCACAATTCAGTGTGCGTGTTCAACTTTCTTGGTAGCTTAGAGAATTTATACTTTTAGGAGCCATGTAGAAGGGCTTTTAGATTATCTACAGTACAAACACATCTTTGTGTTTACCAGTTAGGGCTCCCCTCCAAAAAAAAAAAAAATACCGGAATTTTAACTTGGTTAAGGTACTGAGAATTTTAAGTATATATAT